TGAGGCTGCTCAGGCTGTCAAACTGCTCTTCTCTTGTTTTGGACTTTGACTCTGGGCCTGACTGGGCTGTTGCACTATGGGAGTGATTAGAACTAAGGGTACTTTTGCCATTACCAATGCCATCGCCACCAACCAGGTGACCTGTTACTTGATCATCACTGCAACCTTCATTTTCTTGACTTATGTCATCCTGCATTTTTCTAGCCAGCATCTCATCCATTTTCAACTGTGTGGCTTTGAATTTATTATATGGACACTGATTCATACATGTATTATCTGCCTCTGAAGAGTTGTGACCTGTTACTTGATCATCACTGCAACCTTCACTTTCTTGACTCATTTCAGCCTGCATTTTTCTAGCCAGCATCTCATCCATTTTCAACTGTGTGGCTTTTAATTTCTTAAATGGATGCTGATTATTATCATCATCATCTTCCTCTGAAGATGTGCTGTTTTGAGGATATTCGCTTAAATCAAAGTCATCATTCCTGCATAGGTATAAGACAATGTTTTTATAGTCTTTTCCAACCTCCTTTCGAAATCTTTTCAATGTAAAAAATTCCTTGGTTCCAGGCAAAAACTGGGCTTCTTTGCCACTCTCAAGAAGCAAGAGGTATTTTTCTCCTTCGACAAAACAATTGGAATGGTATGCTTGAAACTTATTGACTGCCTCGGTTTGGATTTGCTTGTAGGATGCTACATTGGAAATTCTTAGCATGACCCTTTTCCCACGGACAACCTTAAGGCGGGATTCTTTACCATTGAACTCCATTAGCCCAATCCAAATTCCGACATCTTCTTCTTTTTCCTCCTTAAGGGAATTCTTTGAAACCTTCTCCTTCCACTGCTTTCCTTTCGACTTTCGGAAGGATGAAAAACTTTTGATGGCACGACTTTGAGACGCACCTGTAACAACAAAGGAAACATAATTCATGAGACCACAGTGTTTATATATACATGTTTTTCACCGACTGGGAGGGATGTATTGGAAAAAAACAACTGTGACCAACGGGCTGCAAATTGATGGCCAAGAAGGTTAACATTTTATAGGTCAAGGCCCAACCCAACAGCGGGCGAACTACTTATTGTTTTTCCCAATCTAGTACATTTGCCATAGGATATATGTACAGAGTTCATGCTACATCTCAAACAAAAATTTCAAGGACTTTCCAAAGCTCAAAATTACGATTTACAAGGGCCATTTTGTTTGTGAATTTAACAGTTGCCACTTGCTGTTATTGGAGCTAGAAGAATGTTACAATCAAAAAATGTTACAATTTTAGTTTAGTATTCAGCTACTTTGCTATATTCAAGGGCTTTTCAAGTGCACTTGAAAATGTGTTCTTAATTACAAGGATTTCAAGGAGTAGCACGAACCCTGCATGTAATTGCCTACGAGTGTTTCTGTGGACATATAACAGATATAGGAGGCTTGGTCTATAGGCAGTTATATATTCCTTGATATGATTATTCCTTGTTATTTTGCCTCTGGCTCGTGGCTTTTAAGCTTTTCACAGTTCTCTTTCTTCTGTTTTTCTTGATAATTTTTCAATCGAGACCTTGAAAAACTTGTTTATACTCATATCTATATACACCCTCTGATTTCTATAATCCTCCACGCACTAACAATAACACAATATTGTAGTTTAGGGACTAGTTTTGTCCATTTATTAGGACCTTTTCAACCTAACTGAATCTTTCTTCTGTGTTTGCAACATATTTACAGACAGACAACAGTGATGACATGAACATGATTGCAATTGTAGTTTCTTGAGCAAACAAAGAAAATATATTCAAAATTTCAAAGAAAAAAAATATAAATTACTGCCAAAAAATATGATCAGCTGTTAGTGAGGGAGCTCCTCCTCAGGCTGGTTCTCATACCGTCCCAGCGATCAACACAAATGTACAAACAGTGATCCTAGCTTTTATGCCATATCTCGGAAGCAGTTTCATTCACAGTCCTGGACTCCCCTTTTCATAAGCTTTCATTCTACAAACACTATGAATTAATTAACTTTGATGAATTTATAATTATGTTCTTACCAGTGTCACTTAGATCTTTTCCTAATCTTGAGGGACCAGCAATGTCTGCAAAACTTGCAGAAGGGACAGTTACACTTGCTGTTTGTCCTGCAAATTTTTGCCAAAAACAAATTTTTCAGTTCACTTTCTGATACAGCTATGGATTCAATCAGAAACCTATAAGGGAGTTGAAACGTGTAACAGCATGCTAAGCTTTGGAAAACTCAAATCCAATTGTTGACCATATATGAAAGTCCTGGCCTCAACATTGACCAAATATGATGAAATATGGTCATTACAAGCATGGCACTAGAGCGATGTATGAACATTACACGTTTCATCTCCCTTAAAGGTTTCTGATTTAATAGATTCAATTTCAATGAGACGCRCGATATAAGTAAATCAATTATTAAATTATATTATTATTAATCAATCAACAACATCAAGATTAAAATTCAAGATATACATGTACAAGATTTTCAAGAAACCATATTTGTTTCGGTTATCCATGCTAATACAACGTAGCACCTCCCTGGGAACTGAGCACAATAAGAGGCCTGCAGATGCAAATCTGTAGTACAATAACTAGCAGTGAGACCCATTCATATGCTAACTAGCTGTTCCCAAGGATGTATCTCTTGAAAGTAATGTCTGTTCTGGCTAGAAAGTATTAAGTCCAGCTAAGCTCAACCGTCAATCATTTGATAGACAATTGAAAAAGTATTTTAAAAATGCCTTATATCAACAATAACAACATACTGGCTCATAGCCAGGGTATGTTGGGTCTTTTACTTAAAAGTGTGTGATTCCACAGAGGAACTGATTGAGGATTCAGATTTAAATCTTACTTTAAATTGGCCAAAGGACCCTCATAATGTTTGCAAAAGCTCTATTAGGCATATTGTTAGATGCCAAAGTCCTAAAGCTTTGTATATTGTAACAGAGAAATAGTTTATGAAGAAATGTTAGCTTTTTTTAAATGTTCTTCATTTTATGCATGTTTTTGTGTGTTAAACTTTACTATCTCGTGACATAGCTCCGACTCCGTTCTTTGGCTGCATAAAAGCGTTCGCAACTTCGATCAAACTGTGTCTTTTAACCAGAAATAAAAGCACTAAATATTAATAATAGTATGTGGAACCTACCTTTTCCGCAATTAGGGCAAAACTTGTCCAGGTTTTCGATTTGATGTCCACAGTTGGAACAG